TTCAATCACTCCTACTGAGTCTTGTGAGTGAGCTAGGAGGTCGCCGGACATCTCATTTTTAAGCCGTATTAATTTTCTATACGCATACAAAAAATTAAATGCAAAACTAAAACAGAAAAGAAATTACGGATGTTTTAAATTTTTTTTCAAAAACGAACTTTTAGGGGTGTTTCTAATGATCAGGGTCTTAAACATTATTATAAATCGTTCACTCCACTATCTTGTCCTTACAACAAATTTTGCCACTTCTGATATAATAATGTTTATCTGTGTCTTCTTTGGCAATCTGTTTCATCTCTAAGACCAACTGCTGATGGATAGTTCGTTCCTCAGGTGATTGGTCCGGAGAAATGAAAACAGTTTTATGACGTGAAATCAGTCTCAGTTCTTTGGCTTTCACTAATATCTGATGGACTGTACTTGAATTTTCAAAAGAAACTTTAACTGGTCTAATCTTTTCAGCTGACTTCTTCCCAACCCGGACAGCTTCGAAGTGTGGCTTTTCTTCAATCTGCTGAAACATCTCGCCAACTTCATGATTCAGATTCTCTTCACTAGTCTCCTCGAAACCAAATATTAACACATTCTTAGTTCGATCCTCTTCTAATATAACATTCTGTACAACCTTTTTCAAGCTCTCTTCTGTGAGTACAGGTGCGGCTTTCGAAACAGCTTGACTGAATGTGATTATCCCAGCTTGAACAGTGTCCTGGACGGTGGTCTTGACGGTGGAGTGCACGGATTCCAATTGCTTCGATTTGCTTTCCAGAAGTTCAGCCTGCAGCTTGATAACAGTACTTTGCGATCGGATAAGATCGCTCTTCAACTCCTCCATATCTTTCTTGATATCCAGAAACGTATCTACATGATCACTGGTAGTCCGATACACATTACACAAATGTTTGACTAAAACTGCCTTCACTGGCTTTTTGAACGTTTCAGCTGAAAACTCATTTTCATGGTCACAGTTCATAGCTTCCGAGAGTTCAGTGACCCAAGAGTTATAGACCTGATGGTGATCGGTAATGTAGGAAAAGTAATTTGACAATCTTTGAAGAATATCCATTTCATCATCATCCATCGTGTACATGTACTTGTATAAAGTAAAAACACAGTACCCGCACAATGGCAGTTATAATGTAGCGATAAAATAGAGATAAGAGAGCTAGATTATCAACACGTAACAAAAACTGCACATTACTATACATTTTAATTTAAAAATTTATTCATACTACCCAGTGGCGTAACGTTGCCTGTTGGCGCTCCCCCCGCCGAAAACGCGCCCCCCTGTTGGCGCCCCCTCCCCTTTTGGTGCCCCTTCCTAAAATTGAACAGATTAGGTGATTTTAGAGGATACACCGGTAAAATCTCTAAAAAAGTGTGTTTCTAGGGCAAAACGTGTAGTTTTGCTAGTACCTCAGTCAAGTCTTTCAAAATTGTCCCACATTCAAACGACAATTTTGCGCCCCCTAAGATGGCGCCCCCCGCACAGCGGGGTCAGCGGGGCCCTTCGTTAGGGCCCGGCTGCAGGAGAATGAATATTCAGGAGAATAAATATTCATAAAGCATTTCATTGGCAGGATGAAACTAATTATTATTATTATTCTTCTTTTTATTTTCAATTTCATTACCTATATAATTATAAGAAAAAATTCTATTAATACTTCCCGGCAAGAGAAGTGATGGTGCTCAATGCATATCTTGTTATCGTAGTAGGGCCTTTTTTAGCAATGCAGTTGTGCTCTGGTATTGAAGCACAAATTCGTAATAATTCATAATTCAATAGATTTTTCAGTACGCTCCAATGTAACTGATTGAATAAATATTAGATCAATGTTCCTCTAAATTTGTACTAAAGGATGTCCTTTCATGATACATGCACTTTTAACAGGGCCCCCATCTAAGGCCTGATGTGCTTCATTTACACACACACACACAATGATATATCATAACTTTCTAAATATAAAAATATCATTATAACATTAGATTAAATCAGAATAAGTAAGTTAAGGCCACGGGGGGATCGAGGCTTCAAAAAATGCAAAAAATATTATGCTTTGAATCAATATATATTTTTCTGGTGGATACTTTGCCACCACTCATTTGTCTGTAGCTATTTTACTTTTTTTAATAAATGAGGTTAACCAATTCTTCCTTAACGTCATTTTTTTGATAAATCGATAATGGAGGGCAGAAATATTGATGCCATTACAACTGAAAACTACAATAAGCTTTGTTTTTATTGTTTTTGTGTTATTTCAGCAGTTAAACTTTGAAAAATATACAAATAAAGGCAAAATACTCAAAAATCACATAACATAAAAAACAGTTTTTTGCCTCTCCTGAAAACCTCGAATTTTTGACTTCAAAATCTATCTTCTCCTAGAGTTTTTATCCATTTCACCTCAAATTTGGAACTTATGTTCCTGGAAATATATTAATGCCATAGCTTGACCTGTTGGCATCATTTTCTAATGTTGCGAAATATTTGTCGCACGTGTTGAATTTAGTTTTATAATAACTTTGCAGCGGCGCAAATTGGAGTTTTAGAATTGCGCGGGAAATTGCGCGGGAGATCTATCAGTTTATTTGGGTCAGTTCGTTTTATGACTAGGGTTTGCAATCGATAATATCGGCGATAAAATTATAGGCGATAATTCGTAGTAAAATCGTTATCGGTTATCGGCGATAATTTCTGACCGATAAACCGATAATTTCAGAAATTTCTTTTCAAAAATAATTTCGGAATTTTCGAGACTTAACAGCTAACTCGCAGATTCTTACCTCCCATTTTCACAAGATTGATCATAAGATATGTGTGAAACTGATCAAAACATCTGAATTTGCTACTTAAGTACTTAAATCAGCAAGATTTGCAATGTTATCTTATCACTGTTGATTGGTGAAACAAGGTATGTACTATGTAAAAGTATTCATATTTCATGGGATAGTTGCATATTTGAATTCAACGGAATTAAAGTTTAAACGGTAAATCTGTAATAAGTATCCCGTAGTTTCGCCCACCCTATTACAGATAAGCTGTTCACTTCAAACTATCAATTCAGTTACAACCGTATAAGGTAATAATTTGAACCCGACACAGTACACATCATAACAACACAATACACTCCTGCACAGTCCACACTCCACGCCCCTCCCCTGAGAAATGCCTATGATTAACTTGCCTGGGTCGCTCATTTGCTTAAATCGTTGATTGATTACGTTACACGTATCAGTTGTTATCTGTTTTCTGTTGTGTCTCGGAAAACTAGTTAATCTTGATATGTCAACCAACGAGATCTGGAAACATTTCACAAAAGAGGGGGACAACGTGGCCTGCATGCAATGTGACAAGTCTTTTCTCAGCACAACAGCCAAAAGGTCTTACACTAGTCTTTGGTACCACTTGAGAGTTAAACACGGTATAGAAAATGCAGCTGCTAATAATGATAAACCTTCGGCATCCCCCCAAAGTCAAGCGACCAAAAAATCAGTCCCTAATAGTATCTTACATCGAAAAGAAAACTCAAGCCGAAATGTATAGCTGTTTAGCGGCTGTAGACAGACTCTCTTTTAATCAAATTGCAACCAGCAGTTTCATCAGAGATGCCATGAACATTCCGTATTTTGAACATTCCGCCCACGTCTGTTGAGGCAGAGCGGACCTTCAGTGCAAGTGGACTCTTTCTCACGAAATTAAGATGTAGACTATCTGACAAATCTTTAGATATGTTGATTTTTCTGAAATACTATTTTGCTAATAAAGCTTCTAAGTAGTTACTTATGTAGCAAGTTCTAACTTTGCACACATTACAAATAGGGGGAGATTGTTATTACCACTTCACTTTTGATTAATTTACAATTCTGGAATTACGCGTTCCACTTTGTGTAAGATTGTTATTGTCACTGACTGTTCACTGTAAAGTATATCGGATCTTCACTTTCAATTAATTGACTATTTTGAAATTACGCGTTTACAATTTGTGTACGATATCTCGGGAATTCATGACCCTCAATCACGGAAGTTATAAATCATGAACGTATGATTAATTAAGCCACTGAATCGATGGAAAATAAGCTAATTGTTCTGACCAAATTTTATCGCCGATAATTATCGTTATCGCCGATAATTGAAAAATTATTATCGGTTATCGGCGATAAAAAATTTTGGACCGATAATGCAAACCCTATTTATGACGTGTCGACTACGTTTACTTAGTATACTTTATCCCTACCGTTTTATTACATTTTTTACTTTATTTACCTATCACTATACAGTATACATATTTAATCTTAAATTATCATTTTAGTGGAACTATGTAAAAGGGGATCGTTGCTAGCGTCAAAACTGTTTTAACCCTGCCTTAGTCAGTTGAAAGTCTGATAGCATATGTTCCGTTTGATTTGACCAAACTAATGCCTTTCATTGCTTTATAAATTTAAAAGTTTGTTATGTAACGATTGTTGTAATTTTGCTCCTAACTCTTTTTATGAGGTTAACCATTTTAAATTTTGTAACCTGCACTCATGGTTAACCTCATATCTCAGCTTTGGAGCAAGATATCATAAATCGTTACATAACAAAAACTCAAAATACCTTGAAGAACACTGTTTTGCAAGGTTACAAGGTTCTAAGTCATAAACTGAAAAAGAAGATAGATTTTGAACACGATTTCATTTAAAGTTTTCATTTACAATAGAATTACAGGTAAACCTCAAAATTCAACGAGCGATATCTTCAAATAGGAAACTTTGTTTTCGGTTAAGACAAAAGCATTTGAAAATGTAGATTGAGGTCTACAACATATCTCAAAATCTCAAAATCGACCTCAGACCCCCCCCTGTGGCCTTAAAATACATAATACACATTCAGGGAATTTGAAATATTTCGTAAACGCTCAGGCATTTGCATGATGTTATGCTTGTGGTGATTTTTTATGCCTACTTTTAACACTTTTCAATATATAATCTCCAGGTAACTAGTTAACTCTCCTTAATTTGTAGACATGGGTAATGAGCAGGGAACTGTCCTTAACAGGGAGCCTCTTAAGTCACCCTGTGAAGTAAAATGGAACAAAGGTCTTGATGTTCAGATTCAAGGCAAGGAAGGGCATTCTTCAGTTGCTTTGAATAATAAGGTAAAAATGTTCAGTTCTCCAAAATTTGACATCAAGTTTTTGTTCATTTAAACTGAAAACTTAAATTTAAACCTCCCCTCGGAAAATTGTTTAATAAGAAGTTCATTGTTGTGACTGTGGTTTCAAATTTATCCATTCAGATCTACTGTTATGGTGGGCTAGGACTGGATGAACGGTTATTTGGTCTTGCAGTTTTTGATACTGGTATTTATGAATCAGCAATTTTGTTTTCCTATATTTTATGTACAATTACAAGTCTCTAAACTATTGCAAGGTATCATTAATCTAATGTAACAACAACTGCAACAATGTCATAGATAACAGCAGCAGAATTTTGATTTGAAATGTAGGTAAACGAATTAAACTCTAATTTGACTCCCCACTCGTGAATGAACTTTGTTTATCAATTAGGAAATATATCATAAATTCTAATATTTTTCAGTGAAACAGTATCATTAAGGCATAACAGTTTAACTTCAGAAAAGAATACACTGAGAGAAATCCAAGTAACTGGTGAAAAGCCTGGCCCACTTTGCAATGCGAGCTTGAACTGTGTTGGAACAAAATTATATCTCTTTGGTGGACTGAATAGGGAAACAGGATGGAATAATGACATGTGGTCATTTGATACTGGTAAGATTGTACAATTAAAATCGTTTCATTGAAGATATTTTACATCCATCTCATTGATTGACACATTTGAATTTGATAAAAGTGTCAAATCGAAATCATTTTGCAGTAACAGAAAAATGGGAGAAGCTGGCGATTACTGGAATCAAGCCTTCACCCAGAGACAAACACACATCAGTCATATGGGAAGGGAGAATAGTTATATTTGGTGGGTTTGGTCCAGCTACTGGTGTAGAGGATACTGAAGATGACGATGATCAAAGTGCTAATTTCACATGGTACAACGATGTCTTTCTTTTTGATCCTAAAAATAATTCATGGGATGCACCAAATGTTTCCATGATTGGAGGCCCTGTCCCCAGGGCTGCACATTCTGCAAACATCTACAAAAATAAAATGACGATATTTGGGGGAAAAGATAGTAAAGCCAGAAATCAGGTAAGTTTATTTAGTATTGTCAGTGTCATGAAACTTGTGATATGAAGGAACATTGATAATAGGTTGTATTCTTGTATTGTAACAGCACTGGACAGCTAGTTTGCTGGAGAGCTAGTTTGCTGCAGATATACTGATAATTTTCCACTGCATCTGCAAAATATTCAACCCACAGGATTTGTTTACCTTAGATCTTTCAACGTTGGAGTGGAGCTCTTTTGAAGATGCTGGAGCCAGACCTGCTCCAACCTCATTTCACAGCTCTGCCCAATTTGGCCAGTTCATGCTAACATATGGAGGCAGATTTAATGACAACTCCCACAGTGATCAACTCAATGTTTTAGGTATACCAGCGTTTTCATGTTATTCTGATGAAATGTCACTAAATACTTATTTCCTAGTTGGGCTGATTTCAACGTTGTCTCGAATTTTATAGTCTCGGCTTTGTCTTTCACATAAATCTATATAAAGGGTGTACAGTAAAAACCAATTTTGATACATTAACTTGATGTTTTGCAGATTGTGAGACAGGGGGCTGGTATTCTCCAGTAGTGGAAGCTATGCCTTCTCCTCGGGGACAAAGCACCTTGTTAGTATTGGGGGACGGTACTTTGGTTATGTTTGGGGGTTCTAACAAGTTTGATATGATCCAACAGTGCTGTCAGGTCGGTTTAATATCAATTATAAATATGTGCAAGTTAAAGCTCTAATGAAAGTTCATAAATACGTGAAAGATTGAACAGATAACTGTTGATGTCAGTAAATCAGAGTTTCCACAATAGTTGGAAAACTGGATGCAGCACCTGTTTTAGATTTCCACTAAGCTATGACAAGGGAATATTTTCAGGAGTTTGACACAGGTGTATATCGATTGGATTGTAATCTTCTGAAGAGTGTAGAAATACCTCCTCCAGTCGTAGAGGAAACTGAAGATATTGTCAGTGATCCTAGTGCTGTAGGAGATTGTAATATGGCAGATGACTCTAATGAAACTCCCAGTGATAAGCTTGCTGGGGTATGAATTTAGGTATTTGTACTGGATCTTCTATGATCTTTTTAACAGCTTATAGCTGACTAGAAATTAGAATTAATGAATGTTTAAACTGAATTATTTTAAGCTCCTATTTTATCCAGTTTTCCAGAATTGTTAGGAAATCTAAATTTTTATTTGTATGCTTTGTTTTATTTATTTTGCACATTCTACTGACATAACATGATTATGTACTATATTTATAATATTTCTAATTCAGACTTACAATGCATTTCCTTGTTTACTGATTTGAATGCAAAGCAGAATAAACTTTAAAAACGTGTTCATCTTCAATCTATCTTTTGCCTCGACATCTCACATGATCAATTAATACTTATTGGTTGCTAAAACGTTTGAAAATAAGTTCCACGTAATCATATACTCACACCAACAACCAAGCTCAGTAATAGGATGTAAATACCCTAACCCCTTAAAAGATGAGGTTGAGCCCTAGGTCTATACCGGGTCCTCTCTCTGCACAAAATACAGGTGCTCTCGACTGGGGCCCACAAGGTTTAATCGCGTATGGGTCTCACAACTCCGTGGCTGTGGTTCATGTTGAGTCTCTTCAGTTGCTCCAGGTCCTAGCTGCTCACAACTTCAATGTTTCTACTGTAAGTTGTGTTGATAGTCGGTGTTATCTTTTTGATTTTATTAGTTTATGACTTATGTGTCATGTAAACTATAAAATCCCCATTTTAGAGAGCTAATATTTTAAAATCTAAGTGAGGAACTTTCACAATATTTTTCCTAATCTTGATTTTTGAGTAGTGTTCGAAGGAAGAGGGGGGGGGGGGATGACCCCCGCAAAATATACAGATATTAAATATTAGATACATAACGTTATAATATAATATGAGATTCAGTACCCTCACTACCCAGGTGAAATGGTGTGGACACAATCCCTACCACAACTTGCTTGTACCTGTGTCCCTGTTGTTAGCATCCGGTGACAAGTCTGGCAGAGTCATTGTGTGGGAGGTCAGTAATTCCTCTTGATAACATCTTGATAATATCTTCTTACCCTTGTTCAACTTATTACCCTTGTTCTACTATTAATCAAGATTTATGTTTAAAGAGCTCAACTTTTTCAAATTTTCAAACACTATCTAGATCGAATATCTTATTAAATATATGGTGTATTATTGAGTTAAATATATAGTGTATTACTGTATCCAATCTATCCAGGCACTAAGCGGTCGGAAGGTGAACGAGTTGATAGAAGCCACTAGAACATCAGGCAACGTAACAATGAGCTGGGTCCCCAACACATTCTTCCTGATCGTTTTACTGCCTCCCCACAACGTAGTCCTGTGGAATGCTGCTTCCGGAACTAGGATCTGGAAACAAACTTTTGTAGATCCTATGTACTCCTTCTCTTTAGGTATTTAAATTCTCAAAGAATAGCGGTTAAATATTTCATTGCCTTTTTTATTGTGGTGACTGGTGGAAGAAAGATCATGATTATCTGAATTTCCATTGGATAACTGGACCAATTTTGATAGTTTATTATTGTCACAATTTAATGACCATGTACCGTTCCATAATCTTCCTTATATTTAATCTCACCACCAAATCATACCAACCTCAGACCCGTTTGACGAAAGTAGGCTAGTGCTGGTTAGCGACAACTCCCTGATCTTTGTAAATGATCTAGACCTCTGTAAAACCCCAAACAGCCACCCTAAGAAATACCAACTAGCTCTGGGTAACAAAGGAAGATCTGACTCCCTGCAACCCAGTATTACCGGGGACTACCACCCTCATTCCAACAGCATGCAGGTTCTGTTACAACCTATTCAATACCTAATAATACACCAAAATTGGGGATATTAAAATACAAAATTCCTTTCTCTTTGGATCTCTTGTTCCTTCTTCTTCACCTTCTTACATCAGCTATAATATATATAATATATATATATATAAACAAAAGCTCTAAGAAACAGATAGTAAACAAAGTAAACATTTCTGTCCCCTAATCTTTCTCAAACAAAAGTCATGCAATTTGCATACTTCTCCATTTAACTCTATTCTGAGCGATTAAAGTTAAATTGTTTAAATCACATAAATTATTTAACGATAATTTTCGAACACTAAGGTCGTGTAGAATCAGTGAGAAAAGGTTTGACTGCGGTCTTCCACGCCGCCCTTGAAGCTGTAAGGTGTTAACAGCAAAAACAAGCGACGAATAGGCTGGACCATCTGTAGGCCCACGCAGTACATGTCCGAGCATCCTCCACCGACTACGAGCCACTTTAGCTGACAATGGTTCGCTATTGCAGCGTTTATACAAGTTCTTGTTGGAAATGATGTGAGGGTATTTGTAATTCAAAATTGATCGCAGATGACGTCTGTGAGCAATATCTAGTTTTTCCAATACTGATTTAGGGGCAGCCCAGCAAGATGAATTGTACATTAAAACGGATACTACCAGATATATATATATATATATATATAATATAACAATTAATAATCTTAAAACTCATATATTATAACAGGTTGTAATTCATTACTTGGTTATCCGTCAAAAATCTAAGAACACCCATTGAAGTTAAAATTGTTGTGAGCATCCACCGCTCCTCATATAGTTATTTTTGTTATATTTTTATATTTTGTTATATTCATAATGCTTACTTAGTATGCCTGTAAAAACATATGAACTTGATATACTATTATAATCGTCAGGGTTTAATAAAAGTGGTGCACTCGCCCTACTGTAGAAACAAGCTGCTACTCCTCTACCCAAGACAGATCACTATAATAGATCTGGAGCTCATGCACGCTACTGGATACATTCTACAGGTATACATTCTACAGGTATACATTCTACAGGTATACATTCTACAGGTATACTTTCT